TGGACTGCATCACCCGCTACCCAAGGGAGGCGATGGCCCTGGCGAAGAGCACGCTCTTCAGGGCTCCAAACTTTTCGAACGGATAGGCTACCACACACACACAACAACAACAACAACAACAACAACGATAGTGTTTTCGCTTGGCAATTTGAACGAAAGGATACAATATTAGAATTGGTTTTTAAAAAGTGTTATTGGTATTAATCCACATTTTTGCTGTTCTAAAAGTGCTAATGTTTATTGGAAAAGATACCGCTGCTACTGACGATGATGATGATGATGATGATGATGATGATGATGATGATGATGATGATGATGATGATGATGATGATGATGATGATGATTATGATGGTTTAATTGAGAGTCCAGCACCACACGGTCATATTCATCATGAGATACGGTATTTACAAACATAACTATGACGATGACGATACTAATGACTGCAGCGTCGTCCATTCAACTATTAAGTCAGCGTCGCACAAAAGTAAAGAACTATTAAAAAAGCCCCCCCCCCCTTCTTTCCCACCCGCTTCTCGTCCCCCCTTTCCTCAAGCACTCCCTCATTTTTTACGTCTCGTTACGCCTTTAAAAAATTCCTTTTCAGGTCGAGATCGCCCTCCCATCCAATGTTACCAGTGTCAAAACTATTTGAATCTTACATACTACGATTTCTGCCCAATGAATAGCACTGTGGATCTGGAGCGAGCATTCAGCGGTGATTGTGAGGGCATGTGTTTTACCAGGACGGACAAATCGGACCCAAAATGTGAGTACAGCGGTGTGTCATTTGTCTGTCTGTATGTCTGTCTGTCTGTATGTCTGTCTGCCTATGTGTCCGTCGGTGTGACTCTCCGTTTCCTGCCTGCGAGCCTGCGTTCTTGTCGGTCTGTTAACCTGCCTGTCTGTCTGTCTGTCTATCTGTCTGTCTCTCTATTTGTCAGTCAGTCAGTCTGTCTGTCTATCTTTCTATCTGTCTAACCGTATGTAAGATAGTCGGTCTGTGTGACTATCTGTTTGCCTTCCAGCGAGCCTGCATACATGTCTATCTGTTAATCTGTCTGCCTGTCTGCCTGTCTACATGTCAGCCAGTCTGTCTGTTTGTCTAGCTGTCTGTTTGAGTTTAAGTTTTTTCAGTCTGCGGTATATTTAGCGAGTGTGTGCGCTAATCATAGACTTGTATGAACAATAATATTGATGATAGATAGCATTTGAATTGTGAAAATTTCTTTTCAACAGCAAGCCTTATGCGCTTTACAATCTACATTATTTCCAAGGCAGACCTGATAGCATTCTGAAACAATCTCAACTTCCTCGGAAGAATACAGTTCAAGCTGCCAGTTTTAAAGCTGGCGCGAAAACGAAAACACTACCATTCTGACAAGGTCTTAAGCCCGTTAGTCGGTACCCATTTTCACCTAGGTGAAGTAGGGAAAATTCACGCAAAGCGCTTCTTCAAAGGTCACAACGTCGGGCCTGAGTAAAGAAATCCCCCCC